TGAAACCGACACAATTATATTTGCATTACTTCAACGAACCAGCATACTCTCACTGGTATAAGAGAGCGAAAAACGATAAAGAAATCGATTTGATATTGCATAAAACAAGGCAGGTTGTGAAAGTTTATAATAAAACCATCAAACACTATGCTCATCGTAGTGATGTGCTGAGACTGGAGGTACTCCTTGAATATGGTGGTATTTATCTTGATCTGGATGTTTTAGTGCTTCGTTCATTTGATAGTCTACTAAATATAAGTGACACACTTATGGCACATCAAGACACATATAATAAGACTGCATGTAATGCTGTCATTATATCACAGCCCAATTCAATATTTCTAAAACGTTTATTAGATGCCTATCAAAGTTTTAATCAGAATTGTTGGGCATGTCATTCTGTTCAACTACCAAGGCAGTTATCATTAATTTATCCATCTGAAGTTACTATACTTCCATCCGAAACATTTTTTCGTCCATATTGGCCTGAAACAAAACAGTTGTATGTATATAATAATTACAGTTTTACAAAGAATTACGCTTGTCACCTATGGAGTAAAATTAACGATAAAAATTACTTACGATCGTTAACACCTCATCGTGCATTAACACTTAATAGTACATTTGGAAGGATGCTACGGTATGCCATTGGGACTGATACACTCAATCAGTTGAATCAAACATCTACAACGTAGATTAATGCTTCACTCTGTGTGAATGAGATCTTAAAAAAAGGGAAAATGTTCACCCATCGCTAAATATTACTTCGTATATGTCGCTCATCTTGGTTTTCCTACTAGTAATAGTATGTCTTTTGGGGAAACCTTTATGGCTAAACTGCGTAACTGTCACCCTCTGTTGCCGTGCATTGATGGTTGAAACGAGAGAAATCTACTAAAATGCAATTTTAAACAGCGATAACGTATAGATATAATGTTTTCGGTCTCATACAATGACACTACGTATGCAGCGATACGCGCTTCTATTGGTCGGCCAATATCAAGAGATTTGTATCTAATGGACGCCTTTGCTTAGCTGCTTGTTATGTTCTCCAACC